AGTACACATACTGTTTTATGACATTGGTTAACAACCCCACTATGTCAACCCTCTCCCTTCTCGACCTTTTTTTTTTTCGGTGAAAATATACATAGCCAAAGATACACCATTTCAAAAATTTCTACATGCACAGTTCAGTGCTGCTATTCTCACTTTAGAAGAAGGTTTACAGAACAAAATAGTTTCTCACTGAACAGTTAGTACACTTGTTGCCCTATGACAATGGTTAACAACCTCACTACACATCAACACTGTCCTTACTCAACCTTGGGTTCCCTATCACCAGCTTTCCTGTCCCCTTCTGCCTTCTAGCCCTTGTCCCTGGACTGCTGTGCTCAGGCTTTCTTTTAATTTGATAATTTACCTGATTTGGTTCAGTCTTAATTAAATGTAGATTTCAAGTGATAGTTTATTTAAAAGTATTGTGTTTATGTTAACCTCAAGTAAAACAATGAATTAAATAGATTTTGTTTATAGGTTGCTGTATATAAGAACTAATAAAAAAATGAGTTCTTCAGCTGGCTCCAAATATGAAGTGCTTTGATGTGTTATAGCATATAACTTTGGACTTAACCGCTACTGTATCCTTAGATAATGAGAATTATTTAATTGCAGGGTGTTAAAAAGAATTTCTCAATAATGTCTTTTAAAATCTCTTATTAAGGTTGAACCTCTACTAGCCAGACAACTATATTATTTTGCTCAACAAAACAGTGGACATTTCCTGAGGGGCTATGACTTACCTGAACATATCAGCAATCCAGAGGATTATCACAGATCCATTCGCCACTCCTCCATTCAAGAATGAAACATTTCAAGACAAGTGATTTTTGCTTCCTTGTAAATATCTCACTTATGACAAGAACAGCTGATTGACCTCCATTTTTTTCTTTGGAGGAACTTGGAAATGGGGGCTTCAGATGAGCAGTTGAGGAAAATCTCCAGCAAGAATATGTCTAGAAAATCAGATGCGTCTGATTGACAATGAGCTTATTCCAGAAGGAGTGGTGGTCTTCCAGCTCTGACTGGATGAGGTCAGTCTTCTGTAGATTGCCATCATTGGTGATAACTGTGAACATCGACCAAACACTGTGTTTACATTTACTTACATGCTCTCTGTAATTTGATCTTAGTTATTTCTTGCTTGAGGACTGAAAAAACTTGCATTCCAGTATTGACTTCTAACTAGAGTTAGTGTTGTACCATTTCTCAGGGACATAGATTCTAAATTTGAGGCTATTCTGCTCACAAAAGAAGTTTACTAATATATGTAGGAGCTATAGTTCTTGTGGAAAATGCTTGCTGACGGAAGTGGAATCTTTTGACTCGGGCACGGTTGGGCCAAGAGACTGGCCTGTCCTCTCCCGCTGCCCAGCAGGTCTCACCCAGGGTGGGCCCCCTTCCCCTCTCACACTGCTTCCCACTTGCTTTCTCTCCTTGGGCTCCCCTGGAAGCCAGTTCGTAGACTCTGTTGCTATTCTCTTGAGCCAAAAAGCATTAGGACTACCCTTGGGTGGGACATTTTTGTTGGTCCTACAATGTAGTAATTCCTGGTTAAAATATTTTTGTTTGCCTTTTTGTCTCTCATTCTTCAGAAATTATTGCTAAAACATTTTTCTTAAAGAAAAAGAAAATCAACAGCCCAAGTGCTAATGAAACTCAGTGACATTTCCCCTCTTATCCTGCCTGTTTTGTTTGGCTTCAGTTAGTTATCCATGGCAACACTAAAGAGGAGGAGCCAGTGTTTTACAAATTGGTGAACTCTGTTAAGAAAAATGATGACAGGATTGAACTTGTTGCATAATTGCAGAATCAGTGGGCTGTTTTTGCTTATGTTTGTATATTATATGCTTCCTCATACCATTAATGGTTTGACAGGGCCTTAAAATTACTGAGCTTTTTCTAAATATGTCTTTTTATAGAATCACAAAGATCTCTACTGGCTTAAGTAAATCTGATCACTTATATTTTTGTTTATTTTGGAAAAGTACAGATACTCTGTGATGTTAGGGTTCCAATACTTTTCTCATATTGCAAAATAATTGCTATTACTTACAGGCTCAGCAAAAGACTTGATAGTTCTCAAATATATGCCACTCCTAAATATCTATATATTTTTTAATTCACTCAACGAACATTTATTAAATGCTTACTATATCCCTTGCATTATATACTTACAGCCCTCATCAAGTGGCTTATAATTTAGCAAGCAGTGAACCTTTGGAACTTCATTTTGTTTTTTCATTGTTAAAAAGAGTTTTTAATTATAAAATAATACATACTAATTACAGCAAATGTAAACAGTATAGGAGGGTTAAAAAAAGACAGCATCTCCTTTTTTTCCACTCCAGATCCTCCTCCCTTGAGGTGCCCACATTAACAGTTAGAGGTTTATTCTTCTAGACATTTTACTTCTCCATAAATATTCAGAAACTTAAAAAAAAAAAAAATCTCATGGGATCATCTTATACATACTTTTATGCAGTGCTCTTTTTACCTAATGGTTTTTGCTGGGCATCCCTCCATAACAGGAATACAGATTTACCTCATTCTTTTAGAGGTGTAGTAGAGTTCCACAGCAACCAGCAATGTACTCATTATGGTTTAAGGTAGTTCATTAGCCACTCAGAATGAGTACTTTTAGTGAACTGCAGTAACTTATACATCTTATAGATGCACAGTATTTTGGGGTATATTATCCTGAGGGGAAATGAAGACAACATTCAACACCGCTGTGACTCTGGAGCCCAGCACAGAATACTGACCCACAGACCCACACACCAGAGTTGCCCTCAGTGGGCTTTCAGCAGTGGGGGGTGTGTCTTGATTTCATTTGCTCTTGTGAGTTCTTTTTCTTTTAATATTGTGCTGCTTTTTAAGCGGGGCTACATCCTCTGGAGAATGCTGGTCGGCTTGGACCAGTTCCCCTTTCCTCCTCTTTACACCCATTTAAGTGGACCTTATTTAATGTTGAGGGACTAGAGTGTGAGCTAGCAGATGAACTGACAGTGAGACCATCAGGGTCAAGAGTCCCCCCAGTGGTCTCCCAACTCTGGAAAGGAGCGGCCACCTCACTCCTGATTTATAAGATGGGGCTAGTGCACAAAGGTGCAGCTTGCTGTCACGAAGGTTCTGCAGTTGGTCAGGCCCTCTCAAGGCCCAGGGGCTTTGGATTGAGGGAAACGTATGGGTCTCTAAGGTTTCCTTGTTTCTTTCTCATTCTTGGGATTTCGTATATTTAAAACTTTGGGCAATAATTGATGTCTTCTGGAGCGCTATAGAGAACTCTGGTGACCAGCTCGTTTAAAACTGGAAGTTTCATGTCTTGGGAACCCTCTTGGTCTTGGCAAAATGGGATGGTTGGTCATCCTAGAAAGAACGCAGCAAGGCTTTTTACAGCCACACCTCTATTTGTGTTTTTGCCAGGATTATGAACTAGAAAGAGACTACTCCATTGTGAGAGAAAGTGGACAAAGCAGCACTTAGAGTGTGGGTGCCATCTGTACACAGGTGTGCCTAGAGTTTGTGTTTAGACAGAGGAACTCTTTGGGCTAAGACAGTTTTCTTCCTTCGTCATTCCATGTAAACCTAGAGTTGAAACAGCTCTGGGGTCCTGGGTAGGGGCTTTGCTGTGGCTTCTACCAGAGGATGGGGTAGTGAGTGTGGCCCTGAGAGGAGGCTCACTCCTGAGCTGGCAGGTGCCCAGCACCAGGGAAGGTCGGAGTTTTAGTTTTTTTGTGTGTGTGCATGTGTGTGTCAGTTTTTTGTTTGTTTTCATAAAAATACACAGTTCAAACTCCCTTTTCATTCTTCTCCAATCACATTTCTCCCTCCCCCAGAGGGGGCCATTTTTCTGTAATTGGTGAAGTGCCTTAAGGTCTATTTTATTATCTGCCTTTCTTCATCATTTGTAGCAGTACCTGTGTTTATTTAAATTTTGCAGTAAGGCTGTCCTGCAGTTGTATCGTTCTGCAGCTTGCTTCTTTCGCAAGTCTGGTTTTGAGACCGACCCGTGTTGATGCACATGGATGTTGTGCTTCCCCGCTAGCTGCTGCTGACAGCCCATCACATAGTGCACTGGAAGCTGGTTTCCTGGTGTTTGTTCTCAGTGCTTTTGGGAAGACATGGAGCGTAAGGCTACTGGGGGCTGCAATGGAGGAGGTGTGGAAGAGAAAAGATGCCGAGAGAAAGGCCAACAAACCAGTGCTCCTCGAATATCAACTTGAGTTGTGCTTTAGACTCTTAGAAGTAGAAGGGACCTTGTAGGTGATGTGCTTCGATGCCCCCTCATCCCCACCCCTGTTTGGTAGCTGAGTGGACAACTAGTGGAGAGGACAGACATGTCCAAGCTCAGCTGATCTGCACTGTTCGTGAGACTTACAGGCATGAGCAGTGCCCCTAGAGCTGCGTCACAATGCTCTGTGGACAAGTCTTGTATATAATCCAGTCATGAATTATGGTGTAAATTGATTTTCAGAGCAGATTGGTACTTGTGCTAATCTAGTGTTTTTAAGTAGTTGATAAATAAAGGCTTAAAAAAAAAACTTGTTATGATTTGTGTGTGTGTGTGTGTGTGTGTGTGTGTGTGTGTGTGTTATTAGGCACTCGGGACTCTCATCTTGATGGCTTTTCAAATACTTCCTTCTCTGTCAGGCCTGGTTGTGAGGCAGCTTGGCAGCCAACTTCCTTCCTGGTTGCATGTGCCCCTGAAATCAGATCTCAGAGTGTTGAGCTAGTTAAACAAAACAAAACCAAAAACTGCAAAAATTGTTTCAGCTCTGGGCAGCTCTTCCAGTATGCATAAATGCAAGTGAAAAGAGTATTTAACAATCATCACCCCCCCACCCCCACCCCCGGCATGCCAAGGAGACCTTCTCCTCCCCTCCTTCTGGGCCTGTGTTCTGAACTGTCCAGTAGGGCCCAGGAGACTGTTGTTAACATCTTCTTTTGCATACAAAGCCCCTCTGATAGTGGTGGTGTTCAAGGGGAAGGGACGTAGGTTCACTGGCATTCTGAATGGGAGCCAGACATAAAGCTGTTGGTGGAGAAGAACAGAGGCGCAAGCAAAGACCCTGAGCCATGTAGCTGTGTGGCTGTGTGCCTCAGCTCCTGCCTGCCGGCAGGGAAGACGAGCTCGCCAGGCTTGGGGGTGGGCGGGGGGATGCATTCCCACGCTGATGCCTATTCTTTCTGTGGCTGCTCCTGGTTTTATCTCTCTTCCGTGAACCGGTCCCTGCTGTTGCCTTCTATGAGAGGACCACTGTGCAGCAGCCTTGAAGGGCGGAGAGGTGCAGTGCTCTCAGAGGTTTGCATGGGATGGGTCTAGGAACCCCTGAATAAATACTCTTCCTGCTTCTTGGGTCTCTATTTCCTCTACAAATGTTGTCTAGAAATGGACTTGAGTTAGTATACATAAAAAGCTTTTTCTTCAAATAACTGTTAAAAATAATCAAAACTCACCAAAATTTGAACATATAGTTTCTTCTGAGCAGTTATTCTATACGCACATAGGGAGACCATTTTGATTCCAGAAAAGGCAAATGGCTCAAAGAAGGTAGGAACAATGGGGCTTATAAAGAGAAGGGAGAAATATAGAAGATCAACCATTGACTGATCTTAACATGATTGATCGAACCCTGCATAACCCCCTTTACTGAGATCAAATGATATCAGGTCACTTCTGGCCTGGCTGCTAATAATTTAGCCCTCCACCCATGACACTTTTTGAGATATAAATTAGGAGGCAATAGTTTGATGACTATCCTTTTCTATCAGGATAAGACAAATTTACATTACTATAGAGCAGTTTCTAACAGGCTTTTGCAGTTTGGACCAGGCTTTTTTGGTTAATATTTGGTTTTGTGTTTAAGAAAAACCTTAAAATCAAAGTAAAATGTCTGTTATTAATTTTCCTCTTCAACATAATATATCAACTGTTTATATCTAGAAGTGATCCAAAGGGATTTTGAGCCCTTGGACTTGTTCTTAAGTGATTTTGAAACTCCCTCAGGTGCCAATCCTCATACTGCTACTTAAACCTTTCTTTATGCACAGTGTATATTTTACTGGATGGGATTCAACTTCCTAGAAGCAATTATTGTCTTGGTTAATTAAACGCTTCTTGCTTATATCCAGTGCACAGGTAATGATCACCTATACTGAGAAAGCACACCAATTTCAACATAATCTCTTCGGAAAGAAGCACAAGAGGTCTCAGTGTCTCATGTTTCCTAGGACAGGCTATACCTGGATTAACCAGGCAGATGGGCCTCTTCTGAGTCAGTGTGGAGCTTTGAGTTACCGGCTGATTACTTAATGAACACTGCTGCTGGCAGGTGTTGTCCTCGAAGGCCCACCCATAGGCAATGGCGATAGTGGCCTGTATCAGCAGGAGGGAAGTGTCCCCCAGTACCCTCAATTAGACCATTCCTCTGGTATAAGCTATTTTGTACACTTTATCCCTGTTTGTGAATGAATGGTCAGAAGTCTGGAATCTGTGGAGTTCCATTTACTGACATTTTAGTATCCTTGAACACTGTTGCGTCTTGCCTTTAGGTATATTATCTCAGTTATCCTTCCTTCCCCACAGGCTCAGGCATGAAAATAAACAAGAATGATGAGTATAGGGGGTGTAAGGAGACTCATCCCAGCCAACGTAGCTTCCGTTGCCTCCTCTTTTCCTTCTGGGTCACGTTTCCAGAGCAATCTTTGTGTGGCAGAATGTTTCAAATGTATTTAAAACCCCTACCTTGCCACCTCCTTCTCCAATTTCACACTCTTGTCCTACTAAACTCTTGCAGTGCCTGAAGGCATTCTTTTCTCCCTGCTGAAGACTCTGGCTGCCATCTGGTCCTCTGGCCAGCACTTCTTGACCTCCCATGGCTAGGTAAACAAACAACAAGAACAAAAACCAAACCCATTGCCATTAATTCTGACGTGTGACGACCCCATGTATTAACAGAGTAGGACTGCTCCACAGGGTTTTCTTGGCTGTAATCTTTACAAAAGTAGATCACCAGACTTTTCTTCCATGGCATCACTGGGTGGATTTGAACCACCAACCTTTTGGTTAGTAGCCAAGAGCAAATTATTTGTGCCACCCAATGACCTCACGGCTAAGGTAGGGATCTTCTTATGTGTATCCTCTGTTTGGCTCTGGGAAGGATACTGTTTGTGAAGCACTGAGGAAAGTTTCCCTGGTATGTATACTCTTCCGTCTGCTTCCTCCCCAAGCAGTTAGGCCATTGATGCTCACTGCTGCAGGGTAGAAAGGACACAACTTAGTTGTTTCCTCCTGGCTTTTGTTTTCCAAAGTCTCTAGTTCTTGGGGAAAAAACAGAGGACTCAAAGTAACTAGGAATTTTGAGAAAGATAAACCCCTTTGCTCCTCCTGGCCTCCCACCCCAGACTAGAGAGATATTGTTGAGCTGGGGAAAGAAGAGCAAGAATA